AAGTTCCTCTAACATTCCATTGTCCTATCATCATCCTATTCCGCGCTTTATTCGTTTCCATATTTTCCTGACCACTGTGCCTGTGTAGACTCAGTTTTTTTTCATTTTCTCTAGTTTTTCGGTACTATGGTTCCATTTCCACCATTCATCGTTTATACATATTTTCTGATAGCCGACTTTTGTTTCATTACCTTTTCCTTTTTCTTCTCTCGCCATATCTCTTAGCTCTTTCTGTAGTTTGGCTTCGGCTTGGGTTAGATCGTTTTCAATGAAATACCGCGTTCCTCTTAATTTGCTCTTATTCTTCATAATAAGCTCTTTATCCTTCATTGTATCTACTTTTACTATCGCCACTGGTGGTTTCCCTTGAGAGGTTCTTATTTTCTGCACATCTTTTATTTTCACATTCACATTCAAGTGACTTGCTATAAAGTTGGTGGCATCTTCCAGTTCCTCATTTTCTTTGAAATCGCGTCCTTTGATCACAATGTTTTGTTTCCGGATTTGTTTATCCATCTTTTCGATCCTGCTTTCCAGGAAATTTACCTTTCCGTTCAACTCGCGATTTTCTTTTTTTAAATTGCTAATTTCTTCTTGAAAAATCTGCTGGTCTTTTCGTATTCCTTTAACTTCGTTCATAAGAGCGATCATCATTTCTTTCAATTCGGTATTATCGCAATCTTTCTTAGGTGGAGACCTAGTTAACTTTCTGCTTTTCATGAAAGGGTTTTCATCTTGGTCGTTTTCTTTTTTTTTCCTCTCTCTTTCTCTTACCATCGTCAGATTCTTCACTATCCCATTGATTTAATCCTCTTCTCGCGGCCATATTGTTAAAAATATTATAAATCTCTTACCTTATTCTGGACAGTGTTTTGACGTTAAAATTCTCACTTACACGCCTATGTATTGTTTTGTAAATAATCACTAATTATTGTCCTTATCGTGAAGGTTCCCCGTACCGCACTACTTGTCCCTTCAACAGATCGGAGCTAGCAGCGCTGATTGTTTATTTAGGTTACTCGTTATGATTTTTAAAAAACTCGATTTGGTTCACAATTTTCTAATGACACTCGATTCACACATACACTATTTCGCAAGAAAAACACTTTGTGGATAAATAAACTCGATATTACCCGAATTTTCGAATTAAATATCGGAGCCGTTTTAAACCACGTCTTTCTCGTTCGTATACCAAAAGTTTTCATATATTTTTGAAATTTTGGCTGGAAAGGATGGTAACACAGAATTACCGACTGAAGTAAATTTGGGAGCTGCTAGTGATGTTGTAGTTCGATTGAGCAGAGAAATATTGTCCAATAAACATGATAAACTCTTATACAATTATTATTTTTCAAGTATACCACTGGTGTCATATTTGTCAAAACGACGCATACATTCTATCGCAACAATCCGTACAAAACGAATTCTGAATTATAAAGGTTCAAAGGTTGGTAAAAGAAAGAAATTAAAACATTACAAAGAGGAAGCATTCAGGAATACTCTGGCACTTATGAAAATACTGCCAAACATACATACAGTCCAATGGTGGGACAACAAAATTGTGTCTACTGTCAGGATATTGTGGAACTCAACCAACAGCCAAAGTGATTATTTCGCACCGAAATAACTAGGAAAGAAATTGATTGCCCAGGCATTGTGCAACAATATAACCGGCATGTGGCCGGTGTGGATCTGCAAGATTCCTTATTGGGATTAAATCCAATCAAAATCAAAAGAAAAAAATGGTACCACCGTATTTTTTATCATATGCTGGATGTAGCAGTAGTCAATGCTTGGCTATTAGACAGGCGAATCAAAAAACAAATTGGAAAAACTGAAGAAATTATATCACTGCTGAATTTAAAAACAATTCCAGCCAAACAACTAACTAACACTGGTGTTTTAAAAGAAATAAAAGTAAAAAAAAAGAGGTTAGTCTTTGTAAATGGGTATATTTAAATAAAAGTAGTTCGGCCTAGAAGTTCCACACTGGAACAACCATCCAAAAGAAGAAGTTTTCACACTGGCCAGACTAGACTATAAACAGGGAAACATGTAAGATGACAAACTGTTAAGGAAACTCAAGGGTTCAGAGTGAGAAATGTAAGGTGCGTTTACGCTTTCATTCTAAAAAGTAGTAACTGCTTTAACACGTTGCCTGCCGTCTCGGTCTATATGACCGAGAAAAAATTGCTCTGCACCCCAGCGAGGTCTATTTGACCGAGAATTTAATGTGACTGTGGTGCCGTCTCGGTCAATTCGACCGAGGCAGACCGACATTACAGGCTATATAAGCTATAAAGGTATTGGCAGAAATGGCATTGGCGTGAACGGAAAGTATTACAAATTCCTCTAAGGCAGGCAATGTGTTAAAAAGTTTCACAATTTGGAATAGTTTGTTTCTGACATCGTTGTTAACCCATCGATCTAATATGTATGACAATTGGTTCTAATAAAAGTTTTTATACATAGTATCTCCAAATGGACACATTTTTTTTCTTTCTTCCGTTCCTTTTACCCTATCAGGGTGTCCGATTTGGGCTAGCTATTTTAATTTCCATTTACCCACCTTTTCCATTGTTTTTTGTTTCCTGCCATTATTTTCAATTCCTCAAGTGATTTTTGTTAAAGTTTTCCCGCCTCTACTACTTGCTGTATCCATTTTTTTCTTGGACTGCCTCTTTTTCTTTTTCCGATGTTTTTTGCTTCATAAACTTTTCTTGTTATTCTATTGGATTGCATCCTCATCAGATGCCCATACCAGTTCATTTGTCTCTTTGCTATTTTGTTCATTATCGGTTTCTCGTTGGCCATTCTCCTAATAGTCTCGTTGCTTAATCTATCCCATTTTATCTTTCCAACTATCCTTCTTAGATGTCTCATCTCCATTGCGTTTATCCTGGTCTTATGTTTTTCCAGAATTTTCCAGTTTTTACTTGCATAGAGCACAGTCGGTATCACTATTGTGTTATATATTTTTATTCCTGTTTCTCGTGCAAGTTCTCCTTTTCCCATTATTGGGGCTAACGCATAGTATAACTTGTTTGATTTCTTTGCTCTATTTGTTATTTCCTAGTCTATTTTTCCGTTATTAGTTATTATACTTCCCAGGTATTCGTAAGTTGTTACTATTTGCAATTCTAAGTTTTTACATTTTATCTTTATTTGATTATCTTCCTTATCTCCTTTGCCGCTGATTATCATTATCTTACTGTTTTCCTCGTTTATCTCCATTTTTAGTTCTTCTATTTGTTCTACCCATATATCCATTTGTTTCTGCATTTTATTCTCGGAATCTGCTATTAGTACTATGTCGTCTGTATACATTAAGGACTCTATTGTTACCGGTTGTAATCTGTGGTAACCTATTATTGTCTGTAGTTGATTGGTTCTGACTCTAGTGTTTCTTATGAATTACTATTATGAATAGCAAAGGGCTGAGACTATCTCCTTGTTTAATACTTCTCTTCCAATTAAATGCCATTTTTTAACATCTACAGTATCTACAGTACATCTACTATAAACAGTTAAAAAAAATTTAAACGTTGCATTCTACATACATCTATTGGGACCGTGCAAGTTCGGAACAGCGACACCTGGTGTCGTAAATCAGCAAAATTGACTGCGCTTTCATGTTAGATTGAGGTTACCGGATAACTGTCAAGGCCGTAGCCCCAAAAAAGAATAAGAAGAAAAAGTAAGATTGAGGTTATGACGGTATGTTATTAAAAGGTAAACGTTGTATGTAGTGTAAATATAAATAAAAATATTATTAAATTACAGCATTACTGTTAATATGGATGCAATAATAAAAACTGGATTTGAGAAATTAAATCACCAAATAACTTTTCAACCAAGCACCGAGTCAAATGGAAAAGCTTTAGTAGTGGCAAATGTTAAAAAAGAATTAAAGAATTATATGGAAGAATTAAGAAAAATAAATTACCATAAATAATGCTAATGCATAAATTAGCAGGTTAAGCCCATGATATCATCATATTGGTTTGAACAATTAATTCTTTCCCTGTAAACTTTTGGACAGCGAATATATCTTAATGCATCTTCAGAAAAACTTGAACTTGATGCATTTTTGTAAACTTCAAAAAAATAAAATTTAAACATTAAACTTGATTTTTGGGTTAAAATGAACTCTAAGTGAGTGTTATGAAACTAAAATTTACACTTAAAAGTGAACTTTTATTTATTATTTGTTTCAAACTGACTTTAAAATCGGGCGCATGAATAATGCATAATTTAGGTTATGTTACTTATGATTTTTTATGATATAAATCCACTTTTCTCTTTGTAGTAATTTGTGCTTCGAAGTTGGAAACGAATAAAACTTAAATTGACAATTTTTTGTTGTATTTTTACAATTTATAACACAGCATTTCCTAAATCCCATTTTCTTCAGTGACAGAAGGTGTAAATAAACAAACGAATATGAAATAAGACAATTGACAATATGAATTTATGAAATCTATGAAATTTGGAGTAAAAAATGCAAGATTTCTCCGCTACTCGCGCACGATCGTTTCTCGTATCACATCCAAGAACTTGCACGTCGCCAATACTTGATGGACATACAATTTTTTGTCGCTATGTACACTTATTAGAAAGGAGGGTCTGATAAGAACCATACAAGTGTTTTCAAATTTTTCTCCATAGGAAGACTTACATTTTGTGTGAAATGTATCTTTTGAAAAAAGTTTCGCGATTTTTGATAGTCCCAGTATCAACTAATGTATTCCGGATGACAATTTTTAATAAATATGCACAATGGGAAACAGGAATATAAAACATACAATTATTTGTCGAATGAAGGATTTAAACTTATTCAGCAATCTATTAAAATATTATATTTTTCCTATTTTTTGAAATTTCTCCATTTGATTTTTTTGAATATTTTTATTTTGATTTTATTTTGAAGATTTTTATTCAGTTATTTCCATACCTATCGTCATATAAAATATATAAAAGAAGAAAATTATGACACTTACCTGGAAGAAATCGTATTTAAGGAAGTCCCTCAAGGGTTTGTAGTCTGGAATATTCCACCAGGCATTGTGGTAGAAGTTCAAGGTGCCAAGAAGTAGAACTAAGGTCAGTGCTGCTAGTTTAGTCTTGTATCCTACTGTTACCATAACCATCAAGAGAGAACCGACGAGGTCCAAGGTTATCTAAAAATAATACAGTATATTCAATGTTGTTCCTGTCAGTACTGAAATCAGTACGATGGATCAATTTTTAGTACACCTGTAACGCTGTTATACCAATACATAAGCCCAAAGAATATTATTAATATCTACAGTAGAAACCCGATTATTTGAGGTAATATAGGGGAAAATTTAGTTGCAATTGCATACTAAGAATTGTATGCACATGTATATTTTGAATTACAGAGGTAAGTAACTAACAATCTATCCGTCTTGGATTCATATTTGATCTCATGTTTTCTGTTGCAATGTTCCTCCATCAGAAATAGATGAGCTGAGGTCGTTTTTGGTTGATGTTCAGAATAAACGATTTAAAAAACGGTTAAACATGTTTAATGGAAATAGGTTGTTCGACGACCACGCATCATTTTATATCACCGAAATGCGTCCGTGATTTCATCATTATTGAATTTTTTAATAACATCTACTAGTACCCATTGCTAAATATCTTGTTTTGTGACGTTTTCACAACTTTTTAATTTCTCAATTAATTTAAAGTTTTTTTTACTTCGTCCGTTTCGCTAGAAAATATGAACGCGGTACTTTGATTTGCTCTTTCAACTCTTTTACTTTTTCTTTTTGTATGGACATGACTCTGTTGTGCTTCCAGTAAGTTGTCGTTCCACCCTTTTCGTGGTCTTCCTACTAATCGTCTTCCTGGGGAACCATCTCCTGTCGTCTTTACTACTCTATTCGATGTCATGTTCTCCACTTTGCATCTAAGTCGTATATCTGTACTTCTAGCTCTGTCCCATAGTGTTTTACCATCAATTTTTTAAGTGTTTCCATATCTGCTGTTTCTAACATCATTTTTTTCCTCTCTGTGTTAGGTCGTGTTTCTGACGTGTATATCATTATTGTTCTGACGACTGTTTTGTAAATTCTGTCCTTTATTTCTTTCTCGATATTTTTATTTCTCCATATTGTTTCATTCAGGCAGCCTGCGGCTCTCTATTCACTTGATCTCCCACTTCTGCTTCGAGCTTTCCATAGCTAGATAATGTCATGCCTAGATATTTAAACTCCATCACTTATTCTATTATCTGACCTTCCAGCTTCAATCTACATCTTAGTAAATTTGCTGTTATAACCATGCATTTTGTCCTTTTCCTGGAAATGAACGTGTTAAATTTTCTGGAGCTTATATTAAATTGAGAGAGTACTATTGCGTCGTCTGCATATAAGATTATTATAAGTTACTTTTCTAGTATTTATAGTCTTACTTTTTTTATTATTTCATCCATAATCAGGTTGAACAATAGAGGACTCAGGGAATCTCCCTGTCTTATCCCATTGTCAGCTTCAATAGGGTCAGTTAGTTCTTCTTCTACTTTGACTTTTATTGTGCTGTTTTGGAAGATATTTTCGATAGTTTTGATTATTCCTAGAGGTATCTCTCTTGCGTATAGTAAGTGGATAACGTCCTTTAATTTGACCAGATCAAATGACTTTTTAAGGTTCACGGAACATATTTATGCCGGTTTATTGTATTCTAATGATTTCTCCTGCACTTGCCTCATTATAAATATAGCGCCGGTGCATGATCTTCCTTACCTAAAAACTTGTTGTTCTTCTGCTAGTGTTATAATTTCATTCAGTTTATTTGTTATCACTTTGGTTGTTAATTTTAGTGTTGTGATTAATAAATTAATTCCTCTATAATGTTCCAGATCCGATTTGTCTCTCTTTTTAAAGAGAGGTAATAGAATGCTTGATCTCCATTCTTGAGGAATTCTGTTTTATTCTATTATTTTCCTACTTTGTTTTTGGATATTAAAAGTTTACTACACACTATAAAACTTATAAATAACACGAGCTGTAAATAACTCAACAATAACACGATACAATTTGAGTATAATCAGACTGAGTAGTTTGGAACTGTAAAATGGTAATCATTCACGCTTAAGGCGATAAATTATATTTGTTAGTCTCGACGAATTCTTTTGAGAGAGTAGTATTGCGTCGTCTGCATAGCAGATTATTTTAAGTTACTTTTCTAGTATTTTTAGTCTTACTTTTTTTCTGTATCTCCCTGTTTTATCCCATTGTCAGCTTCAATAGGGTCAGTTAGTTCTTCTACTTTTACTTTTATTTTGTGTTTTGGTAGATATTTTCGATCGTTTTGATTATTCCTAGAGATATCTCTCTTCCGTATAATAAGTTAAGTTAATAACATTCTTTAATTTGACCAGATCAACATATAAGCTAATCATTTAAAGTGGTCTTTCAACATATAAGTTGGTTCATTCATACACATAATACAACGCTTGGCTTATATATTACATATAATAGTGTAATCTTTTATAAATAGTAGATACGATCTTTGTTTTGTATATATTGTATTAGTTTTAGGAATTTCTGTTAAGAAAAGGTATAGTAACTTATGCTTGTTTTTTAAATATTTTCTAAGATACCTTGCTCAATTGGCTACATTACACTGACTAAACATAAAACATACCATTAAAAAAGAATTTAACAATAGAATAACAAACATCAGAGAACAACTAGAAGATCCAAAAGAACTATGGAGTGAATTTAAAAACCAAGTTAACGAAATCTCCACAAACCATGATTATAGGAAAAACTTAATCAAGAAAATTAAATGGATGTCAGAAGACATCTTGAAATTAATGGAACAACGTCTATTGGTAAAATCTAATGAAACAGAATATAGACACCTGCAGAGGAGAATAAAAAAGGAAATCAAATTAGCCAAAGAAAAATGGATGACAGAAATGTGCGACGAAATGGAGGCTGTAATATCTAGACACGACTTATTTAATGTGCACAAAAAACTAAAAGAAATGAGTAACATTATTTAAAAGACGAGTCCCCTCTGTACTCGTTTACAATAATAACAAAATTATTGTAACTGATCACGAAATAATAAAAGAATGGCAGCTGTGTATATTAGAGTAGTTTGAAGATGAAAGATGAAGATGATAATATTGCCGAATTCTACCAAAACTGTACTGACGGTCCAGAAATTGTGAAATGCGAGGTAGAACATGCTATAAATAATGCTAAAATTAGAAAAGCTTTGGTCCAGATGATACACCAACTGATTTGCTGAAACTAATAGAGAATGATAACATAAAAGTAGTAGTAAGACTTTTTAATTCAATATATTAACACCGAAGTGATTCCCACAGATTGGCTCAAATCCATCTTTGTCGCAATACCTAAAAAACACAATGCGAGAAAATGCTCAGAATATCGATTAATTAGCCTAATGAGCCACACTTTTAAAATTTTCCTAAGAATACTTCACAAGAGAATTAGACGCAAATGTGAAGAAGATCTTGAAGATACCCAATTTTGTTTTAGAAATGCTATGGGAACCACGGAGGCATTTTTTGCGCTTAACATGCTATTACAAAAATGCCGTGACCAAAGAAAATATGTATTTGCATGTTTCGTGGAGTTCGAAAAGGCATTCGATAAAGTACAGCATGTAAAATTAATGCAAATACTGAAAAATATCGGAATATATGACAAGGATATTCGTGTCATTAAAAATTTGTACTGGAATCAAACTGCTACTGTTCATAATTACATATGTGTAATTCTACCAGATAATATTGAAGGTCTTCACATTCTGCTTGATCGTATTCACGAGGCAGGAGAGGAAAACAAAATTATATTTTTAGTATTTAGTCGTGACCCACATCCCTATGCAAAGCATCAATTAAACCAAGTACAAATCGAGAAAGTTCACAAAATGACATATTTGGGAACTGTGATAACGGACCAACTACATTCAGACATTGAAATAAAACGTAGAATAGCAATGACTAAAACTACTTTTATGAAAATGAAGTCATTTCTTTGCAATAACCATCTCAGTTTAGAACTAAGACAAAGAATGGTGAAGTGCTATGTTGATCCGTACTTTTGTATAGTGCAGAAGTGTGGACGCTAAAAGTATCGATCATGAACAAAATTGAAGCATTGGAAATTTGGGTTCATAGACGAATGCTGAAGATACCTTGGACAGCAAGGAAAACTAATGAAGAAGTACTAAGGAGCGTCAATAAAGATAGAGAACTGCTAAAGACTGTTTAACATCAAAAAATGTCTTATCTGGGACATATAGTAAGGAGAAGTCGATATAAAATATTACAACTGATCCTTAAAAGCAAAATAAAGGGCCGTAGAGGTGTATGAAGAAAACAAGTTTCTTGGTTAAAAAACATTCGTGAATGGACTCAGATATCAAATGCAGGACAATTATTCCATATTGCAGAAGATCGAGAAACCTTCGCAATGGTGATCGCCCCCGTCGGATAATTCTGATATGGCACGCGAAGAAGAAGACACTGACTATATTGGATAAAACAACTTAATAACTTTATTAACGGGATCTCTAAATAGATAGAATTATTCACAGTTATATATTCGACGCCATAGCTCATTTTCATTTACGACCTCAAAAATCTTTCGAAACCTTTTGTCAAGTTAATGAGCAAAGTGATTTGAGCAATTTCGTTTCGTTTTAACTCACACTCGTTTATAATAACATTTAGTGAGAGTGTGAAATTATTTTGTCTGTTTTTATACGCCACTGTCTATAGAAACTTTGTTTCCCGCCACAGTTAAAGTTCGAGAATCTCTTTTCCAATCTTCAACCGTTACTTCGGCTACTCTATAATTTATTAGTCCAACGTTAATTGTTTGACTGTTTGTATTCATTTAATAGCTTTCATGCTTAGCTTAACTATGAATATAAGATTATCCGATCGAAGTTAATTTAGATCTCGACTAAACCCAACCCGTATAATGTAGGTTCTACTGTACTGTACTTAAAGTGGGCTTAACCAAAATCAGAAAGAAAAAATGCGCTTACCTGCAAGAAACTTAATTCAAATCGGATAAGAGTGATAAACATAAACGCCAACAACACTCTTCCGGTGAGTTGTAAATAATTCTTGGGTTTGTTATCGCCGAGTGATGGAACTCCGGCGAACAGACTTTTGGCTTCACCTCGGCTTTCTGCTAAGACCAGCAAAAGGGCACCTATGAGAGCTAAGTTTCTGAATAGGAACTGGAGGTCCCATAGAATGCTGTAAGCTAACGTCTGAAACAAATTAATCAAGTTAATAAATGTTTAATTCCAATCTAAAATATTTTCATTGGATAAAAAACAATAACATTGAAGAAACCTTATAAGAGATCAACCGATCTCTAAAAATCTTTGTAATATATCAAGTTAGTTTTAATTTATATTCATTATACGGGTGTTAGTAAATAAGTGTGACAAACCCCAGGAGATGAATCTGCATGCAAAAATAATGAAAATTCCCTACATATGTTGGCAAACGCTTCGTTTCCGGGATGTTGCATCTTTTTTTACAAATTGACAATTTATTTATTGCTCTTGAACCTTTTGAGATATGTAAATAAAATTTGGTGGCTTTTAAAACAATTTTATATTCATCATTGGAGCACATAAAGGTATTGGTCTCTAACTAAAAAATTCTTAATTCATAGTTTATTCTTAATTCATAGAAATAATTTTTAATTCATAGTTTAATTTGTGACAAAAAAAACTTTCTTGCCTTTTTTTCAATAAATCCAAACGCAACCGTCTACGTATGTATTTTTTTTTCAATAGTGCACCGTTTTTACGCAAAAAAAAACATTTTATAAGCGCGTATTTTTCATTTCTTTAATACATTATCAAGAACTATCTAATACAGTAACAGAAAGTAACACGACTTAACTAAGCGCAAAGCTACAACAAATGTTCAAAATTACCTCCCTCAGAAGTAACAGAAGATTCAATTCTTCGCGTCATTGACTGTATTCTTGGAAATATTCCTAGTGTATCTCTTATTTCTCACAACCGGCTATAGTTATTTGATTCCTCAGGTCTTCAACATTTTCAACGGGAATGGAATAAACTAAAGACTTAACAAAACACTAAATGCAAAAATCTAGAAGATTTAAATCTGGCGATCGAGCAGGTGGCTGTAAGTATCTATCCAACGATTTAGATATACTTTATCTAAGTGATTACGTACATTAATCCTAAAATGGGCTGCACCATCATGCATGAACCATATCTGTTGTCTCAACTGTAGAGGAGTTTTTTCAAAAAGAATTTTAAATATATTGAAGTTGCTTACAATAAGTAAGTGGGCAATTTTTCCAGTACTTGGTTTCAGGTGACTCCGCAATTAATTTGAGAACTGCTTCTTGTGCTTCTTGTAGTTGCATCGTTCGAAATTCTCGAGGGCGCCTGCAGTCAGCCGTTTGTTTCTAAAATAAATCTTGGATACAACTCAGCATACAATCGTCCAGCTTGTCAACCATTTTCATTACTTCAATCACAGACAAAATGCATATCTGACAATTCTGTGTTTGTAAGATTTTTATTTTTTTTTCAATACAAGAAAAATATTGTTTGGGGGAGAAGGGGGTAAATTAGTCAATATTTCGTAAATATTTCTAAATCTACGCGGTTTAGCGTGGACAATGTTCTATACAAAAATGTTTTACATTAAATTTGAAACAAAAAAGGTCCTGCATAAAACAAACGGTTCCAAAGTTACGAAGGGGGTACATGTAGGCCATGCTACATAAGAGATTACGAGAAATTTATAAGCAAATTAGTTTTGAAAATTGTTTGTACACTCAAAATAAAAATGTTAAAATTTACAAACCGTAAAAAAATTAAATAAGTACGAAGTATTAAAACATTAAAACACCTGAACTCTCTTCCTTATCAACAAGAGTTATAGGCGATAAAAACGTGAACTGTGATCAAGCGTTTGAAGTCGAAACCCTACTTTGAAAGACATTGAAAACAAAACATTTAATGAGATTGACAATTGAAAAAAAAAAGTTAGCTGTTAAATCCCTATGTATGTGTAAACCCGAACACTCTTACATCGGATGATATGCACAGTAAGGAGTGATGAGTTCTAAGAAATAGTTCAATATGCACTATGTATGTATCCTCTATCTTTGTTCGACGAATCTGATTTCATGAGAATAGGAAGCAAATCTTCAATGGTTACTGTTTTGGTTCCAGACACAAAAGAATCATCATGTACTCTAGATTGAGGGAAAATGCCATTCATCAATGATGGAGGTCACCTCTTTCATCGTGTTGTCTGGCGACGCCCAGCTACCGTCAAACAGATTTGGGAACAATACAGATACTACGTAATTACTCATTACGGAACAGTGACTGTTTTATTTGATAGATACCAGCAAGGAAATACAAAAAATGAAGAACGCCAACGCAGATCACGTTCTAGCATTGAAGTAAAAGTTAAAGACTCAATCCCTGTAAAAACAAACCAAAGTGAATTTTTAGCTAACGCTAATAACAAAATTGGCCTTATTTCACTTCTTACAGTACACTTGCAAATATGTGGTTGCATAGTTCATTAAGTAACGGGTGACGCTGACTTAGCTTAATAGCTTAGCTTCATTAATAGCTTAGCTATTAATGAAGCTAAGAAAGGCGTTAAATCTTGTATTATTGGTAATTACACGGACCTACTAGTTTTGTTGACTGTCGACGCACTACCAGAGAAGAAATTGAAAATGCTGGTACCAAAGAAAGGCAATCAGCAGGAAATAGTCTACACTATTGCTGACATTCAGCGACGCATTGGGAATATGAAGGATGTACTCCTTGCAATAAGGGAAAAATTACACCGTCTAGGAAAGTGGAACATGACAGATTTAGATTGTTTTAGCTATCAGTCTTACTTGAAGGGTATTGCAAAGCAACCTATACATTCTTTACTCAAGTTAGCTGCACTACCCCTCACTTCAGGAGCTTCAAGCCAGAATTCGTTCAGAAACTACCACCAGGTACAGCAGTGGCCAAATGACAAGAAGAATCCGCTCAAGTGGGGTTAGAAGAAGATTAACGAACACCTGACACCAATTACAACAGTGTATTAGACTAGTATTAGACATAGAAACTATGTTTAATACTAGTCATATTGCAGAAAATCGGCAATATGTCAGTTAAATTTACTATTATGGGATAAACATATACACGAAATAACAAAAAGACACCGGTTTACCTTAGAGGAAAGTACAGTGAATTACAGCTTAGGTTGGATCCCAACAAAAAGCGTAAACTACGAGAGATTGACAGCAGCAATAATGACTGCAGTAAAAGCAGCAATTCCTAGAGGATACCGCAGAGTATAGTCCTGGATGGTATAAGGAGAGAAGAATAATTCTGAGGAGACGGAAAGCAGGATATTGCAGACGAATTACTCAACAGTTTTCATAACGCTATACGCGAAAAATGGACTGAGACAGTTAAAATCTAGACTTTAAAAACTCAAGTAGACAAGCCTGGTCACTGATATGAAATCTAGGAGGCAGCAATCCACCCGATGGCCCATGAACAGACTTAAAGCATTTGAAACCTGGGTATAGGTTATTCTTACATCACCAATTTCCCACACACTGAATGAGCAGAGAACGTGTGCTCATTGAAATCATAAAAAAAACGGAAAACTGCATATCTTGGACATGTAATGAGAAACAGAAGATACGATTTTCCTCAGCTCGGAATCAAGGGTAATATTGAAGGCAATCGTGAACCAGGACGAAGACAGTGCTCCTGACTTAAAAACATACGAGATTGGATAGGCTTGGGCTAGAACGATTTGCTGAGAAAGACCCAGAAGAATTTGCCAAAATTGTTGACGATTTTCGATAGGAAAAGGCCACGAAGAAGAAAATAAAAGGGCAGATTAAAAAAAATAATGTATTGAGATTGACATCACTTGCAAATTTTATAGAGAAAAAATAGCTGTCTTGGTTCAGCCTTATGCGAAAAATTACAGATAATTATACTACTGAACGGACAAGAATGTTGAAATTAATTATGGATTTGAACGTTACTTGATGGAAATTTATTTTATCTAACAATAAAACACTGAAAACTTTTGTTCTCGACACTTCCAAAAATATTTATTTTAAATTATTGTTTTAATAATAATAATAATTTAAATATTTATTTTAAATTTATGGAAGTGTTGAAACCAAAGGTTTTGAGTGTTTTATTGTTGGAATGTTAATTTGTTTAGTTTAGTTTAAAGTCCTCCCGTTGGTTATTTGTATATGTATTACAATTTTCATTATTATCCAATTATTTTTATTAGTATGTTTATGTTATTTTTTATAGTATTGTTACGATAAATATGTCTCATAAATATTCTTTTTAATTCTGATCTGTTCTAGATTGTACGACCCTCCGATGGGAACCAGCCGGCAGAAAGTTCAGACCGGTCTCCTATGAAGTTTCCAGAAGAAGGTCGATTAAAAAAAAACAGTCAGAGTGACCTTCGAGTCTGTATAAAGGGAATCGCCGTCTGAATTCGAAGGCATTCTCGATTAACGGCATTTTATATAAATGGAGGAACCTTTTTATTGAAAACAGTTAGTTTTAGTTTTGTGTAAATAAATTATATAATTAATGTGTGTGAAAATAAATTAGTATCATATGTATATAGACTTTAATAAATTTGTAAGTGTTATAAATAGAACCTTTAATAATAAATAAAGACAATGAACTAGACTTTAATAAAAATACTACAGTATGTTTCTTTTCTTTTAATTATTGAAATTTAAATTAATTTTCATGCCTGAACTTCCTGCTTGAAGCACAATGGTCTATTCTGTATGTTTAGAGTAAATGTTTTAGTTTTCATTATTAGTGGATTTTTTCTTTTCTTTGTTTTTCTTTAGAGAAGCATGTTGCTATGCTCGTTTGTGCTATCAATTCTTCTTCTTCGTCTAGCCATTCACGTCCACATCTGAACATAAGCCTCTTCAAGTCTTCCTTTCCATTGTTTTTTATTGTACGCTACTTGTAGCCAATTTTTCCCAGCAGTCCTTTTCAGATCATCTGTCCATCTCATAGGAGGTCTGCCTCTGGGTCTTTTGTGTTGGTATGGTCTCCAGGTTAAAATTGATCTGTGCTATTTGTTTAGATCGCTTCTAGATACATGTCCAGCGTATTCCCATTTCAACTTTAATGATTTTTGCACCACATCGGTGACTTTGGTTTTCTGTCTTATCCATGTGTTTGTTTTC